AACGCGGCGCTAGTGTTTCTTACCCCGTAAAACAGAGAAATTTTTATAAGCGAAAAAACCTAATTTAGCGAATTGAATTGTGAACTTTGGTGATTGTATTATCCTGATTAGACCCTTAGCTTTCTTTTCATACCCCATTTGACCCGTAAAATGCAGAAATAAGTATTTTTAGAAATAATTAGTACCACTGAGCTACCGCTAGATGGCGCCACCATGTCCATTTTGTGACAGTTCGCACTAATTACGAAAAAAACCTAATTTAGAGGAATAATTTGCTAACTTTTTTATATGCCTCCTTAAAATTAGGCTCCCCGCTTTCTTTCCATGTGTGTTTTGTCCTTGATCAACGTGTATGTAAAAAGTTGAATTTTTTTTTCAATAGATCGAAGAACGTCCTTGTCGCACACTGTTGCTTTCCTTGTCTAGCGTCATTAGACAAGGACGACACTATATGACATCGAGAGCGTGCGACAAGGACAAACATATAGGTGCAATAAACAAGGAGAGCAACAGCGTGCGAGAAGAACAGCAACATGCATTAGTTTCACTGTTTTGCCACTACGCGCTGCTAGCATTTGTGGGTCCGTAAACGAGCTAATTTTTTCAGTTACCAAAAATACATAATTTGGAAGCTTAATTATTAAACTTTTGGGATTATTTTGTCGTTTTTAAGCCTTTAGTTTTCTTTCTGTATTTTATTTAACTTGCAAAATTTATTTATAAGGATGTTTCAATTTTGCTCCATGGATCGAAGCATCAACTCGGAGGATAAAATTTCGAGTCTATGTTTTGTATTATTAATGATATTGTTACTGACTTGCATATGTAACCGTGGAGTTGGTTTTTTAATGAATTTGTGAAACTAATGAATATTGTGCAGCAAATTCACATTGCGTGACTTGGTTTTCTTGAAGACTTATACATAAGACATATAATCAAGTAACAATGGTAAGAAATAATATACACTTGAGTTATCACTTTGAAATTAATTTGTTATAACATTTTAGATATATTTTTTTTTACAAAGAAACAATTATTTGTAACGCTTTGGTGACTAAAGCATAAAAATACAAAAGAGAATACAAATTTTGACTAATATATTTCAGAGTTTTAGTTTGCCACCACTTGTTCCAAAACCTATTGTCAACGAGCAGTTCAACATACATGATGACAATTATGGTATACCGAATCCATTGGTTTCAGGGTATGAATGATTATCATCATTACAATTTTATTAGTAATTAAACTTACATCTAATATCAAATGTATTACTGTTTGATTTGTTTTGTTGATAGATTAGCAGCAACTAGGCAACATATAGGTTATGCACATCTATTGGAAGCATCAGAAAAAAATGTAAGAAAATAATTTTATTTGTTGAGATATAATATAGGTATGCGAAAGTTTATAATACGTATTACATATGGATATTTTTTATGTATTGTATATGTGTATTTTTTAGTATGAGAAAAATTGTACTCGCATGAACATGGTGCTGTTAAGAAATACGCAAGGATTACATGCTCCAATGCGTCTGGCAATGGAATTAAAGGCTACTGAAAAGATTGGAAGACTTCCATTTCTTCCATCGTCGCATATGATGAAAGATGTATTACTTGGAAAGGATGAGGAAATAGGGTAAATTAATTAAAGTACTGCCTTTGTCTGAATCAAATAATCCAAGGGAGAGAAAGATTAGTTAGATGCTTTTATTGATTATCAATTGTATATTTATTTTAATTTTAAATATTCGTTAGGGTTTATTATTAATGTTGGTTCATAATTTCTAAGGTATTGATTAGTAAGTTAAAATTCTAACAATTTTTTTTACATATTTAGGTTTGAAGATATATTAAATATACCTGAATTTAAAGAACAAATGGGCCAACCGCACGCTATTGTTGAAAAAAGTCTTGGGATATTATAATCTTTTGTTAATAGTAAATCATTTACTTTATATTATCAAACATCCTAAGTAACAATAAATGATTAATAAATGTCTAACTTAAAAGGTACTTTATTACAAATAGCACTGAATTTACTTAAGTGAATTTACAATTTACTTAAAGATAAATTTCGTTATACATCCGGCCATACAAGCGAATCTATTCTTTTATCAGATATTTTACAAATTTCTTCAATTGCAACATTTAATTTGTGAATTCTTCTATGTGGCAAATGTCGTTTACTGCCAAAAATTGTTTCCACCTTATTTCCTCCTTTTAAATGTATTACAAAAGGCATAGTAAATTTTCGCTTGTATCTGAGTAGTAACACATAAACGTAAAGTAAATTTTATAATCTTTTATTTGCAATGAAATTATTAATTCTTTTTAATTTGCTCACGAGTCATTGTACTCCTTCATTATTGCTTTCTGCTGTCTCGTCATAGATTGAAATTCAGGATCTAGTGTAGTATTTGTTGCAGTACTAGAAGATTGTAAGTATACTAAGTTTCTTAGGAAATCTGGATATCTGAGCACTACATTTCCTTTTTCTAAAAATGAATAACACAATTAACATCATGAAGTCTACGTCGTAATATATAAAAATTCTGATATAAACATTATATAACAGTTATTATTATTGTGTGTTGTTTTTACCAATATTATTCAACTGAAATAAATAATTACGAAAGCAATTTTTGAGCTCTTGAACTGTTATAAATGGTCTTTTCTGTGCTTTGTCTACATTCTGCAATCGGTTGATTCTTTTCAATAGCATTGCCAAAAAGCCATTCAAATTCTTTGTCAGGGAGAGCATTTATTTCTGATAAACTAAAATTTCCACCTGATGGATATGACGTGTACATATTTAATACAAAAATAAGTAATTTAAAAGTTTATACGTTTATATCCAAAATTAACTGTAAGGTTTCATCATTCGTAGATTATTATATCTTTATAAAAAATTGTATAGTTCAAATAATGTATGTATAATAAACTAATTTAAAAAAAATACAAGTCTTATAGAATACTTACCACTGACTACTGCCCTGCTGTTTTTTCTTTCAAATTAAGCTTCTTTGCACTTCTTTGGAGAAAAAGTATAAAGACAGTTCACAAGATAATCGGTAATGCGATAATATCACGCGTTTGAAATGTACTTCTTTTTAAATAAAGTAATCATATATATGTATATAAACATAAATATTTTAAATTTTAAAACATACAAATATAAACTGCTTCTTGCTAAGAATGTATCGTATAAAGTGTTTTTCGATATGTTTATTGAACTATTAGCGGTCAACTGTTCTATTACTGGTAACTGAAATTCAAAGTCAAAGATAAAGATTTATATATTAAATAAAATAAAAATATTCAATTACTATAATAGTTTAAAAAACTGGATAATAATTTTGAAAATCTATTATACTTAAACGAATGTTATATTTTAAAAACTTAGCAGCATTTGAAGTATATCAAAATCTAGATAAATACAAATAAAAGTATTTAACCCGGGATTACCCACCTGAGGGTCTAGCGCAGGTACATCCCGGCGACTAGACCCTCACGTGGGTAATCCCGGGTTAAAATAACGCGTATTTTGTTACGACTTAAATATTTTAATTTAAAGCAAAGCTCAAATTATTTGAACTTTTTCGCCCCATGATGTTGATAGTTCTAAACTCATTCAGAATTAAAAAACAAAAATTTGAAATTAATAAGAAATAAGAAATTATGTATCGATCATTTAATGCGCGTTACAAACTGTATACATATGTATATTTATCTTATATGCCAGTACGTATTTATTTATGTACATATGTACAATAGTTAGAAACAATTTCTTTAGAATATTATCTAGTAATTTCACTTACTCATGGTTTTTCTTTTAATGATCTAGTGAAACTGCATTAAAAAAAAAAAATACCATTCATTGCAGGGATGGAAGGTTATCGCTATTAATTTCCGAATGGTTGATAAGAAATACAGAATTGTGAAATAGCTAGTTTTGAAACAGTTCTTGTATAAATTCTTGTATTGTGAGACACTTTTACCTTACTAAATATTATTGCATTTTATTATCAAGTTCATTATTAAAAATTTAGTAGGAAATTGGGATAGCCTTTGTGTCACAACACAAATTGATATAAAAGTAAGATGGATATTAAGATTTTAGATGGTGGATTTGGTTCGCAATTATCCACTCATGTTGATGCAAAGATTGACGGTGATCCTTTGTGGACAGCAAGATTTTTAGCAACAAACCCTAATGCAGTTTATGACACGCATTTAGATTTCCTGCGAGCAGGTGCAGATATTATTGAAACAAGTACGTATCAAGTTTCAGTATCTGATCTAATGAAATATTTATCTATAACTGAAGAAGAAGCTATAAAGCTGTTACACAAGGCTGTACATCTTGCTAAAGCTGCAGTGAACGATTATACCAAAGAAATTAAAGACAGTGACAATGTTGAAAACAGACATCCTATGATTGCTGGCTCCTGTGGACCATACGGAGCTAGTTTGCACGATGGTTCAGAATATAATGGAGCTTATGGTAAAACAACGTCTCGCAGTATCATTATTGAATGGCATAAATCACGTATAAATGCTCTCATTGATGCTGGTATAAATTTATTAGCGTTAGAAACTATACCATGTTATCAAGAAGCAGAAGCATTAATAGAACTTTTAAAAGACTATCCAAACGTTAAGGCGTGGCTTTCGTTTTCTTGTGAAAAGGGCTCTCAAAACATAGTAGACGGAAGCAATTTCCAAGAAGTTGTTTTACACTGCTATAGAAAGGCATTGCCGGGGCAAATAATTGCCGTTGGTGTGAATTGTATTGCTCCAAAAGATGTAACACCTTTATTAAGAAATATCAATATGGGGTCAGCAAATGAATTTATACCATTAATCGCATATCCTAACAGCGGTGAAATTTATTTGCCAACGGAAGGTTGGATAAAAAACAAAAGTTGTGCTTCATTCGGAAGTTTTATTCCCGAATGGTTAGAGCTTGGAATACGATATCTTGGAGGTTGTTGCAGAATGTATGCAGAAAATATAAGATCAATCAGAAAAGAAGTAAACAATTTTGAGAAAAATAGAGCCATAATGGATTAACATTTTATTTTATCAGTTATTTTAAATATATCACTAAGTCAAAAATTGTTTGAACTAATAATCTATGTATTTAATATTTAAAAAAAGAAATATATATATATATATATATATATACACACATTATTAACGATTAGTAATTTTTATTCATTAATTTTGTACTTAAATAATTTTCAATTAATATTGTTAAAAAAGAAAAATATGCACTTTTTTTGTTTTTATTACATATATATCTTATTTTCTTTTGCTGTGAAACAAGCTATTATAAAATACTATAAAAATCTAAATTTGATATTATTAATAGTAACGATAATAAAAAAATTTCTACAACTTTAAATTTATGTGATAAAAATTAATGTTCAATAGTATTTATCTTGGCAAAACTCAAGATTGCTACATGTGCGTGTGGTATCATATCACAGCATACGTGAACACGTGATTAAATCTGATCTTAATATAAAAATCTCACAGCGTAGATAGCAGAAGAAAACTTTTTCGTCGAAAAGTTATGCTTAAAATTTTACTCACATTAATGTTTATCTCACAGATTTATTATGGACTTTGGAATAAGTGTATTCCATAAAGCCAATTGTAGAAATTATTGCCTCACATTTGCAAACACATTTAAACGACTAAGACGTGCGTGAAATTATAAAAGTTGATTTTCTCGATGTTAATGGCGCATCGCTATTACGTAAAATTTTAGTTATATCTAAAATGTTTAAAATTTAAAAATAATTTTAAATTTTTATATGTGCGTGTATAGATATTTTTAACGTTAAAAATATTTGATAATAACTGTAAATAATTTTAAAAGAGAATCATGCAAGTGAAGGTGATAGATGGTGGATTTTCTACACAATTAGCAACTCATGTTGGTGATACAATAGATGGTGATCCTTTATGGACTGCACGATTTCTTATCACGAATCCTAATGCAATTATTTCTACACATTTGGATTTCTTAAAAGCTGGAGCAGACATCATTCAGACAAACACCTATCAAGCATCTATTGATGGTTTTTCGAAATACATGAACATCTCAGAGCAGGAAAGTCTAAACATTTTTTCTAAAGCTGTAGACTATGCTAAAGAAGCTATAAATTTATACAAAAAAGAGATAAATAATAAAGAACACGTTGCAAATGCGAACCCACTAATTGCTGGATCAGTTGGACCATATGGAGCCTGTTTGCATGATGCTTCAGAATATACTGGCAAATATTGCTTAACTGTGTCAGAAGAAATTCTTATGAACTGGCACAGGCCACGTATTCAAAAATTAATAGAAAGTGGTGTTGATATATTAGCTATAGAAACAATCCCGTGTAAAAGGGAAGCAGAAGCACTTGTTAAATTATTAAAAGAGTTTCCAAACAGTAAAGCATGGGTCTCTTTTTCGTGTAGTTGTGATGGAAAAAGTATAGCAGATGGCTCTAATTTTCAAGATGTTGCACTATGGTGTTACAAAGAAGCCTTGCCAGGACAAATTTTAGCAATTGGAGTTAATTGTACCGCACCACAAAATGTAACTCCCTTATTGAAAGGAATTAATGAAAATTACAAGGAAAATTTTGTACCACTGGTAGTATATCCCAATAGTGGTGAAAAATATACTGTAGAACAAGGTTGGTCAAAAAAGGGAGAAGGATACTTCTTACATGAATTTATATTCCAATGGTTGGATCTAGGTGTTCGGTACATAGGTGGCTGTTGTAGAACAAATGCTGCAGATGTGAAGAAAATACGAGCAGAAGTAGAGAAATGGAAAAGTAATTAAATGTTAGTAAAAATAAATCCTTGAGTAGATAAATCCCAGGCTAGAAAATCTGTTGAAATATTTTTATACACATTTACACAACGCATATTATATATATTTCTTATGATTATTTTTGTATTACATTTATATGCAATGTATTAAGAAAGTTTTATTTTTAATTGTAAAAATATACAAATTATTTTTAATTGTGAATATAAAAATTGAGAAAACATTTTTTTGCCATCTCCTTCTTTTCTTTAATAAAATTACATAATAAGATTTTAAAAACTGTATTTAATGATCGCGTAATATTTTATAGTAAAATTTAACGATTTTTAAATATTCTTTGTGAGTATTTACTTTTTGAGTAAGACCAGATAATAAAGATAAAAATGCTAACATTTGAAAAAATGATGTAACTTATCAAAAAATTTTTATAATTTATATTTTATATAAAAAAAAATTACATTTTATAAAAGCTGAAATTTGTTATCTAAAGAATAAAACAAATACATATTTTAGTACTGTATGTACTTTTAGAATATTATTATCATTATGAAAAGTCATACATAAATATTTGTATAAGTTATACGCAATGCATAATATTTATATATCAATTCTCCAAAGATTGGAGAATATAAATCAATTCATTACCTATGTTATGGACACTTCCTCCTACATTTACATTGACATTTTTGTTTTCCATATCAACGTTAAATACAGAATTGGATGGAATTTGAGTTTTACCTTTTAATATGTCATCCACTGTAGGTTTACTCCTAGGTCCTAATAGAGGATCATCGTAGCGATATAGAGAAACTGACGATGAATCTAGAATTAAAATAAATACTCAATAAATGATGTAAATTAAGTCAAATGACTTCGGTTTGTAGTAGCTGATAGCATACTTTTTATTACTTTATTTTCTTTTAATATTCGTGATATGATATCCTCTACAGTATCTGCATCTGTTATTTTAATGTTTATTCTAAATAAACCACTGTACTTTTGTGGATTTATAACACATACTGATAGTCCTTGTTTAGTAGAAAAATTCATATAAGGTGCACCTGGACAACATTCTTCCTTCGTTTTTTCTGGAGCTTCATCCGTATATTTTATTACAATGTTTTCTAACTAAATGTGAATAAAAGATTATTAAATCTAATTTCAATAATACAGAATATCAAAAAGAATATAATGCTTACATCTAGCGTATTTTCAAGATATTTTTTATTATCTTGGAGAACCTTAAACTCGTCAAAATCTAATGTTAAATTCAGTGCACTTAATCCGAGAAATTGCATTTTCTCTTTCATAACTTGTACAAATGGCATTACTCGTTTCATATGTTTTTTTAATTCTTGTAGTTTTCCCAATTCTGATGCAATAATTTTATTTTCTGGTAGTTTATTATCATTTTTCTGAAAAATAATTTAGTATAAACGCACGAATTAATTATATTTCAAATATTCCATTGCGTATTACTTACAAGGTATAAATCTTTCATTGCAGTTAAAATAGTACTTTGCCAAGGAGGATATGTTTTAGCTATCCAAATTGTACCGTGAGTAGGTTTCTCTATAAATGATTCACCTTTTCCTTTGGGTCCTTTCTTCGGCGCCAAATAATTTTTTAAAAGAATCCTAAACGAATGTGCAGCGTCCATAAGATATTGTGATGATTTTATAAGAATTTCATCTATTTCTTCTACTTGAGGCCATTTAGCATTTAATATGTTGCCTTCCTATTTAAAAAAAAATTACAGTAATAATATAATTACTATGATAATTATTTATTACTTTTTTCATATTTAATGCACAAGTCATTGCGTAAAAATTGCATGTTAAGTACTTACTTTGCCAATTAGTGTCCACACATGCTCTGCTACATGCGGACAAATTGGGGATAGGAGAATAATTTGAAGTTCTATGAATCTCACAATTAATATCCAATTAATACCATCTAGAGCGCTCAACTGTAGATATTTGTCTCTTACTGCTTGCAGTTCAAAGAATCCTGTTCTCAGTGCTTCTTTGTATAGCATTTTCGAATAACTTTCTCCAGTTTCTTGTATTTTCAAGTTCATCTCACTGTTTTAATTATAAATTTAATGTCATAACAAAATAAAATAATTCAATACAATAATAAAACAAACTTTTATAAAAATCTCAAAAAGTACCTTTCGAAAACTTTGTCGTTAAATGTAGATGGTTTCCCTTGTCTAAAGGTATCTTTCAAGGCCAATACTTCTTTAACCCATTCAATAAAATTATATAGTCTAAGAATTCCAGCATCGGCCATGCTTTCTACGAAATTGGCATCTTCTACTGAATCACCAGAATCGGCTAGACAAAGTCGCATACCATCTGCAGAGAACTTTTCTACGGCTTCAGAAAGTGTTAAGAAGTTGCCCTCTGATTTAGACATCTAAGAAAATCATACTTATTATTTATAATTTCTTTCAGCAATTATAAGATGTACTAAAAAGTCATATTTCTTACCTTTGCTGAATTTAAAAGCAAATGACCATTTGCTCTGATACCTTTCGGCCATAATTCAGGCTGTTTAGGCCAAATTGCAGTGTGATTATAAATGAAGAATGTTAAATGATTTTGTATTAGATCTTTCCCAGACACTCGTAAATCTACTGGATACCAATAATTAAATTCACGTCGCATATGATTTAATGCCTCTTTATTTACATTAGTTTTCGGAAACTTTGCATCTTTGAAAAATATATAATCCCATACTTCAGATGTCATCTCATGAGTCCTGCGAAAAAATAATGTTTAATATTTTATTACTATTTAAATAATAATAATAATGTTATAATAAATTTTACTTTATGTTGTAAGTATTTGGTTTATCGCCTTTGAAAGTTCCTCCTTGTAACAAATGCGCTACAGTGTAGTAAGCCATATATATTGTTGAGTCTGAGAGTGATTCTATCAACCAACTTTCATCCCATGGTAATTTACTACCTAGAGTTTACATTTATAAAATTGTATATTACAGAAATTATTTAATGTCTTTTTTTTTCATTAGCAAGCATGTAATCTTACCAAGTCCATAAGTTCTTGAACATGCATACTCATGTAACCAATCAAGACAGGCCATAAAATTCTTCCTCACTTCATCATGAAAAGTATTCAAATTATTTAAAGCTTCTGTTGTTTCTTTTTTCCAAGTTTCTTCGCCATAATCTAGATACCATTGGTTGCATAAAGCTACTACACATTCATCATTTGATCTTGAGATTACAGTTTTTTCAGGTTCATAATATATAACTGCTTTTCCCTCATTTATCAATTGTTTCTGTATTAATTTTTTAACATCTTGAATTTTCTTTCCTTTATGTGGACCAACTAGCAATACACCATCATAAAATCCTTTTAGATATACCATTTCTTTGGCTTCAAGCAGTTTCGCTGTATCATTTTGAGATTGGATTTTTAACATATCGTACAGAAATACCGCAGATAAATTGCCGAAATCAGGTATTTCAAGAATAGGTATCTACCGTACATGTACAATTTTGTTAATTACATTTTAGTATATAATTTGATATCTTTGTCAGTACCAAACAGAACATCAAACTTACAGGATTATACGGCATCACCATTTCATCAGTTATACCATATTTTTCTCTGAGAGCTTGCTTCTTTTTTAGATCTGTTAAAGCTGCATAATCATCAGGGGAGTCGCTAGGTACAGAGGTAACAATTCCAGTGCCTTTGTTTTCTTTAATGGTTAACATTGGCAATGTATAAATCACTTTGTTAAATGTAAGAGGCGCTTCCAGTGATAATCCTAATATATCCTAGCAATTTTGCATTATTTATATTTATAAATAATAGAAATAAGAAATAAGAAAAGTGCTTTTTTATAAGTAATAAGAGGAACATTACTTTTCCAGTAAGTTTTAATGCAATTGGTATCTTTCCCTCCTCTTTAAAGAAATCCTGGTAAGCCATATTTCTAGCTGCTCTTTCTGTTGAAATATAAACATCTCCATTTGACAGTGTATAAGCAATGTAATTTATATCAGGATGAACCCAACAATTTGTTTGACCATACATTGTTTCTGGTCTTAAAGTAGCAGCTACTAAATAAACTGGCTTATCAAAAAAAGATCTATAAGAATACATTAAACGTTTAATATTTAGTGTAAATATTGTGCATATTTTATAATTACTTATACTTGCATATCTTATAATTACTCTTATACTTACTTTAAATTTGGAGGATAAGGTTTTCGTAATTTCATTTTAATTAATGTATACTCTTGTGGTCCTACACCTTCTCCAGTTGATCTATCATGATCCATACAAGGTTGCCCATCTTTTGGTGAATAGATTGAATATCTTTTTCCATATTTTATTTTGTTTCTAGCCTTTAAATGTTGAAACTGCCAACGTACAAATGAATCGAAAAATGGATTTGCATCAGTTGTAATAAATGTTCTACGCCAATCCACCTAGAATAGATTTTACAGTACTGTTTTTTTTTCCTTATTACATGTTTATTATTAAATTATATATTTTGACTCACATGTAAACCAATTGATTTTAAATCTTTCACAGCAAGAGGTGGAAAATAGTCCAACCAATATGTAGCATCAGCAAATTGTTTGATGTCCTCATCTTTCAAACCAAGTGTTTGCATAATTTGCCACTGATATTTTGCAGTGGCAGTTTTTGCAATTGCTTTACTCTAAAAGTGATAATTTAAGATGTGACATTTAAGAATATTTATGAATTAATAATTGATTCTTTACTTTTGTTCCTTTGCTTTTATCTTTTATTACTATATCTTCTACAACTTCCTCAATCTTTTTTTCATTAGGGAACTGTGGTGGATAACCATATAATTCCATTTCTCTTTTTAGTTTATCGGCACATGCCTTAATAGGCATACCAGTACAATGAAAGCCAAATGGAAAAAGAACTTTCTTCCCTAAGAGACGATTGTACCGTATTGCAAACTATAAAATTACAAATTAAATTAAAACTTCAATTTATGTTTGCACAAATTATCTTTTAAGAAATACTTACCTCACATTTTGATAGTGAAAATGTATGACCAAGATGAAGTCTTCCATTCATGTAAGGAAAAGGAAATGTTGCAAGAAACTTTTCATCAGAATTCTTTTTTGGTTGCAAAGGTGCATCTATTTCAAATACTTTCTCAGAAGCCCACTTTTCTTGCACATCTTTCTCAATTTTCTGAAGATATTCAACTTTAAATGTTCCCTTTCTGTCTGTTGCCTGTTAGTAACAAATAGTTATACACAAAAAAAATTATTACAAATCATTAAAATCATCAGAATGAAATTACAATCATTAAATTTAAGTAATATTTAAAATAAAACAATTAATTGAATAGAATTTATGTTTTTAAGATGCGCAATGGGTTAAATGTTTTAATTTTATTAATTACAGCTGGCAGATAGAGACTTGCCGCTATAGAGGTTATTTATTTTAACCTGTCAATTATTATTAAGATTTTTATAAGATATATCAATAATAAATAAATATAATTTCTACAAAAGGTAGCATTGGTACGTACCATTTCGTTCAGATCAATAAAATCCAAGAAAGTTAAATTTAAATAAATGCCAATAATCACGTGTTGGCCGACACTGAACAGGTTCAATAAATGATGCAACTCACACAAGTGTATGCATCAGTGATAAACGTTTCATTACTCGATGTGTAATACATTATGTGCTAAACATTACAATTAAAATGACGACGGGAGATACTTATTTATCAATATGATAAAATATGTTTTATATTATATATTAAATATACTACTTGTAAGAATTTTATTGAAACTCTAATGGCGCAAAAGCGCCATTATTTTAAATAACGAAATACAAAATTTAAACGCAAAAGTTTTGTATTTTACAGTTTTATAAAATGAAAATAAGAATTAAAAAAATAGTATATTTAATCGATTTTTACGAACAAGTTAGAAAAGTTTCGTGTACGTATAAAACATATTTTAATACAAATAATATCAATTTTTTATAAAGAGTACGAGTTTTATTGTTATTTTACATTATAAATTCATACAAATACGCTTACATATATGCAACTGATTTTAAGCCTAGTATTGAGAAACATTGTTCCATTATAATCGCGGTAGCTTCGGTTAATAAGATGCGACTCATATTCACGTTTACTATCTCTCCAAGATCATTCTTTTCCAGGCAATAACAGTTATTATAAAATTCCGTGAAAACGCATGAAATCTCGTAACAATACTCACATAGGTGATGTAAATATAAGTCGGTCGTAATTTTAATTAATACATCGGGAAATTTAATTAATACTTTAGCTAATTTCCATTCTTTCTCGTGTTCCAATGAAATTGGAATATTCTCTGCCATTTCACGTAACTTTTCTTGCGAGATATTAGCAGTCCTTGCAATAGAGCGTATTCTTGTTAAAGCATATAACAAGTATACGGCAGTATTACCTTTATCTTCCAACATTTTGTCAAAAGAAAAGATGTATTCGTGGTTTCTATTATGCGATAAATCAGCATACTTTATACATCCATAAGCAATAGATTCTTGAGCGATTTTTAACTCTTCTTCGGTAAGTACTTTGTCACGTTCCCTTTCTTTGAGTTTCTCAAGTGTTCTCTTCAAACCTTAAACGATAAATAGAAATTCAAAGAAGATTAGCTGCTTAGGAAGCAGCTACAACGTGATAGTAGCACGTAGAAAATTACCTTCGTCAAGTAAGTCACTCAATTTTACTGTTTCACCAGATCTGGTTTTAAATTTCTTTTTATCATTACCAAGAACTACGCCAAATCCAACGTGATCTATTCTATGACAACTTTTTAAAATTCCAGCTCGTTCAGCGCAATGTTTTAATACTTGAAAATGCATAGATTGACCAGCATCTGTTACATATATTACCTACATGTAAACAAAATACATAAAAAAAATAACAGGATATTTTATTGAATAGTAATGAAATATGTGCAAAAAGTACCCAATCTGCTTTTTCTTCTTCTACACGCTGTTTAATGGCTGCCATATCTGATGTGTCATAAGTAAAACCACCGTCAGATTTTACAATGGTTAGAGGTATTTCATTATCGCGTTTACTAAACATGACTTTCCGTCCTTCGTCTTCTTCTAATAATCCTTTTGCTTCCAAGTCTTTCGCTATAGCTTCCATATGCTTTTGATAAAAAGATTCTCCTCTTTCTATCAACTTAATATCTAGTCGAGTATATATCTTTTCGAATTCTACATTTAAAATGAAAGTATTTTACATTAAATACATAATATATGTATATTAAAACGTGAAGCAATATATTGCAATACAATGATTTTATACAAATAATTTTTTAAATTTCATAATTTTACGACATCGATTGTTTTACCTTTTCTAGAAACATCACAAATTAATTGCCATGCTTTTATCACGTCTGGATTGGATGCTTGTAACTTAACAACGCAGTTATAAGCGCGTTTTTTAAATTCTTCATCTGTATCGAATCTTGCCTTTGATTCTTTATAGAAACTCTACAATGTTTACAATTTGTTAGAATAATTTTTTGTAATTAGAATATATGTAAAGATAATTATAGAGCAAAAATGTGAAAACTACAGAATTACTTGGAGATCTGCAATAGGTGGAGATACAGACAAATAATCAGGAAACCTATCTTGAAGATGAGATATTAACATTCCAAATTGGGTACCCCAATCACCAACGTGATTTATCCTTAACACATCATGTCCTAGAAACTCTAACAACCTTGCAATACTGTCTCCAATTATAGTAGATCTTAGATGTCCAACATGCATTTCTTTAGCAATATTAGGACTAGAAAAATCTACAATCACTTTTTGCTTTTTTGTGTATGGTGGTAATATCTTCCCATTTTTCACTAAAGTGCTTAAGGTCTTTTGTGCAAATTCCTTTTTCAAATATATATTTATAAAACCTGCTCCAGCAACTTCCAACTTGGAGATTAAGTTTGAATCTTCTACTTTGGACACGATGCTCTCTGCAACGCCTCTTGGCTTTGTTGTAATTCCTGAATAAATATAAAAACATATATACACCTGCAACTAAAATTTCATGTTGATAATGTATCAATACCATTATAATCTTACCATCATTTTTGAGTTGTTTAGAAAGTGCCATAGCACTATTACACTGATAATCTCCAAATCTTTCGTTACTATTAGATATTATAATTACTGGAGGATCACAAACGTCAGGATACGCGACTGAGATTGCCTTCTTAAATAAATTAAATAGTGTATCGTATAAACTGATAGCATTGTTATCCGACATTTTCAATTTGTTTTCAGACTTTGCTCTCTCAACTTCAACGGTCTTTTCAGAACAAATAGAAATGTATTATTATTTTATTGACAGTGGAATGAAAGTTGTAAAATTATTAAAGGTATTTTAAACGAAACAAACCCTTTTTAAAATAGCCACTCTGTGTTTCAGTTTGATATTTTCCTGTTCTAACTTTACATATTCATCCATAGATACAGAATTTACCATAGAATTGTTAGTCTTAACATTTTGTTGCAAACGTTCAATCTCCTTTTTTAAAAAAGCTATCTCTTCTTCCTGTAATGACCATATGCAAACATTATAACCTACAAAGGTTAGCTAACGATCTCAAAGATTTCGTGAATTTACTAAATCTTTTAAATATTAAATATAAATTGATAGTACAACTTACCGCTTCGTCTGCTCTTTTGTAGAAATTTTCTAAATTTACAGTGGTCATTCTATGGAAAACTTACTTTCGGCAACTCTATAAAAATAATGCACGTGGATTTTTCAAAAAATTTACTTCTGTGCTATTTGCTTGAAAATCTGAAATTACGTCACATTGTTTACAAGTCTAAATAATATGTAATATTAAATCAAACTTGAGAAAAAATTGTTTAACTATCGCATTCATATTCAATATGTACGTTCGTAATTCCATATATATATAGTATATAATATATATATATATATATATACTATATCGATATTCACATCATGCATATTTAAATTAGCGCGCTTTTATTTAAATATTTGAATATTTCTACTCTTTCTATTTGTATAATTTTATTGCAAATAAATAAAATATACAATTAAATAAAAGTCAATAAAAAATCAAAAATTTATTTAATCGATAGGAAATATAATAATTTGTTTTTGGAAAAAATTATAATTATTTAAAACTTGAATTAAAATGAAATTAAAGTTAAAATGAAATTACTAAAACTATGTATTACGAATTGTAAAGTATGGGATTAACTTAAAACAAAACTGATTTTGTTGAGTAAATCAGTTGAAAGAGTAGTTAAAAGGGTACAATTTACATATTCCTTTTATATCAATTATTTATTTTCCATACAAATTATAAACATGTTTTTCAAATACTGTACATATACTGAATTCTATTATATTTTTAAACTTCTAATTTAATGATATATCATTTCGTTCTTTATTTACTTGTTAAATCAACTACTTTGATCCTCGTTTCGTTTTATTCATGATAATATACAGGTAGATCCCATTCTCTCTGATCAGTATTTCACTTAATCATTTTTTATACTCAAGCTCAATTCTTTGATATGGCAGTTCCAGGATATGAAGAAATATAATTTGCAAACATAGATCAATGCGTTTCCCATTTTTGTAGAAAGGAACAGTAAGAATTACAGTCGAGTATATTTCATAGAGATAGTAATTTCAAAAAGTTTAATTTAGAAAATTCAATATCGTTTGAATGAATAATTATTCAATTAAAATATATTAACATTCCAACCATTTTATTATTATAATTTTAATTATTAAACAAATACTTCTTATACACGAGTCTCTATGAAAATACGGATGAAAATATTGTAGCGTTTTTTAATTTCGAAAGAGTTTACGAATTACAATAAATGAATTTTTTGTTCTCGTCAGAGTACTTTATAATAGATAAAACATAGTCACTGGAACTTTTTCTTTTGATGATTTTTTTTTTTTTATGTAAATATGTACAAAGATATTTAACAAATTTCGTCGGTTTTTCATCAATCGTATCATGTGTTGTGTACAGTGCGATTCCTTTCATTTTTTCCGTCTAATCTACTTCTGCGTTTTTTATTTTTATGGATTTGAATTTTTTCCCCTTTTTTCTGATATCATCGATATAGAGTGAGAGAGTGCTATTTTCTATCTTCACAGAAGACATAGATAAATATATATTTTCATAATCTTTCCTTATAAATGTAATTCGCTTACTTTAAAATCATTATTCGTTAATGTTAATAATATTAGTGTCGGTGCTTCTTTTCTGCGACTTCGAACTCCTCCCGTTTTCCTCATATTTTTTTTTTTTTTTGTTAAAATAAAAATTCGCATAACCAAAACAATATTTGAGTATCTTCTAAATATATTGCATAATTCCTTGCTTTTTTTTTTTTAATAATAACGATTTATCTTGGGTTGAGTTAGAACCATCAAATGTTTCTCTATTTAATCAACATGAAACAAATTCATTTTATATTCGTTTATCAGGATTGATTTATTTTCTAAAAATATTCTTTCGTATCAATAATTATTACTGACAAAAATTGAATCAAATTTGAAATCATTCGTGATTCCCGAAATCATCATAATGGTTCCAATTCCACCATAATGTACACACAATTTAGCGCAAAATTACAATTTATAGACATAATATATAAAAACGAATCTTACAATGAATTATTACAAAAAGAAGGTAACAATAAGTAAAAACTGTGAAAATCGTGAAAGCTGCCAGTTATTGAACGAAAGCCATATATATTATTATTTAAATATATAAGTTCTTTCGTTATTCAGTCAATCACTTAGCGAATTTAATTCTCACCCCGAATAAAAAGCGACATATTTCTGACTAAAAGAGAGATCAAAATACATTGCCACTTGTTGCGTAAAAATTAATTAAGGTAAAGAATACAGTAAGTATTAATTATCTCCTTAAAAGTATACATGATTCTTTCCTGTATTATCTTAATATTCACTGCTCCATAGGCAAGTCCTGTTTCAGAACAAGAAATTGATCAGATTAAAGAATATGAAAAAAGTTTCCTGTGCATTTACACTGTGTATAGTCTCTGTGAGAGATGTGACTAAATAAAACTAATCATAGGGTTTTTAATATATGGTCCTCTACTCTTTTATATGATCATCGCTGAAAAGCAGAATATCTGAATATTTAATGTGAAACTTCCCTGGTCCATACATTGAAACGATATTAAGTACGAAACACAAACAATGTCTTGCATGAACTGTGCTGAAGGTATGCTCAAATTTAAAGAGCTCCGATGAAGTCACGCTATTACGTAGTTCTTCTTCATCAAAAGACTGGAGAATCATGCACAAGGATCGAATTTCACTTTTATGCTCTTGAACTAATTTCAATGTTCTCCGGTCGAAAAGTATTAAGATCACGTATCGCCAAGTTGTAGAGAAGAATATCTCTATTCGATGAACGTTGTTCGTATCTAGCGTGCGCAATTGATAGAATCTGATGTATTAGTTTCAGTAAGTGTGTGGTAGAAAGATAAAACGATATGCTAAGTAAGAAAACTCATTTGTGTAAGAATTATAGAAAGAAAAAAAAAAGAATAAAAAGAAGAAGAAAAAGAAGAAGAAGAAGAAGAAGAAGAAGAAGAAGAAGAAGAAGAAGAAGAAGGAAAAGAAGAAGAACAAGAACAAGAAGTCGATATAAAGAAGACGATATAAAGTACTTAGAGTATGAAATAAAGTAATTACAAGAAATACAAACACATCCCTCTAATCTAAGTGTCGCTGCCTAAGAGTGGGTGGGTTTGCACGACTGTAAGTGCGTTTACTAAAAAAGACTGCCTCTTTTAAAAAGTATATAGAAATTATTCTTTTCTTTTATCTGATCATTGAGGATTAAAAAGCTCTGCAGCGAAAAATTCTTACCGTTAGTCGTAATACAGCTAACAGAAGAAGAAAAAGAAAAGACAGTTTTACTAACAAAAAGCTTAAAGAAAGGCCTGTTGTAGTGATTACTCTCCGACCTTACACGATAATTTGGATAATTATAAAAAGAGAAAAAGAATTACAACGATAATTGTAACCAAGGAAACTTAAGAAATCATAATGGCATTACCTCTCTATTCAACTTCCATTTCGTTTAAAACTTAGAAATCACTTAGATAACTTTATACACGATCATTTATAACAATGTAAATCGTAATCATTGCATTAATATTTAACATATATATTCTTATATGTAATATATGTATATCTGTGTGTGGATGTTTTGTCTGATCTATTTCCTAGTTTAATAATAAAACTATAATACTAAATTATGTTGGTACCACGCCTTTCCGAGATCAGAGTCTGTTTCTCATCTTACTCACTTTTTTTAAATATTTTTCTTTCATTTTTCTCTCTTTTTCGTTTCGGTATACATACGCTGTATATCCCCGACACGCATCTTTTTTTTTCCATACCAAATTTATTGTCGTTAATTTCAACTTAACTTTTATTATATCTCTTTTATTAAAACCGCGACAAATTCGATTGTTTGCAAGCGAATGACGGAATATTCATAAAATATATATATATATTTATATATGATTATATCTGCTTTAATATAAAATTTACAATTTCGTCATCTGGAACGCGCTTCCTGCAGGGACTATGAGCAGGAAATCCTTTCCACGATACGTTAAAACACGCGTACCAATTCTTTTTTTGTTTTTTGTTTTTCTTTTTTTTTTTTTTCATTTTTAATACAATTTCCCTCAGTTTTTTTTGAATCAAACTCAAGCTCGGGCTGGCCAGTACTACTAACGTGTAAACGTGTGTAATGTACTTATGTATCGTGTATTTCAAGTTCTCTTTAAGGAGTTTTATGGAAAATGTTCGGAAATACTGAAAGAAACAACCATTCGAATTAAAAATTACATGATTCGATTAAAAGATTATAAATTTGCAAGTAAAAATACATTTATACAACAATCGCCCGATCGACTTTCTATTTGTAAAAATAAACATCGAACAAACGCATGATTCTATGTTATATTCTTTTGCCTCTCATCTAATAACAGAACATTTTCGATAGAAACTCTGTTACACACATAGACGCGAAATATATGTATAGTACGTACTTATGTATTCGTGTGTAGTAAAAGCGTGTTTACAGTCATGTATTCACGCTTAACCCCCTGAAGCATACATTTTTTAAAAAAAGATATATAATTTATAAGAATCATGTTATTAAAAAATAGAAGAATTAAATTCTAGATATTATTTACAATTTTCGTACAAGTAAATTAATAACAATTGAAACGAATTTAATATCCGTTCATCAATACGTGAATAAACGGATGAGAAAGTGAGTAGAGAACGAGATAAAAGAAACAGTTGTATAAAATAACTTCAACGACGCTTCAAAGGGTTAACATTTTTCTGTGTAGTCGTGTATATGCGCGTATGGATGATTTTTTTTTTTTTATGTGATGGTAGGCACTGATGGGGGTGGATGGCTGCATGACGAGCAGGTTCAAACAGGCTAATCCTTGATCAATCTGTATATGTGATGTTGTGCACCGTGCTCGGACGTCGACACTTCAAACACGTACGCTGTGCACAATAACGTTTCCTGCGTATCCCTGTTCGTTACAACCTGTCGTTCGAGATGAAAAAATAATAAGTAGTCGTTTTACCTAGGTATTTTGATATTTGCTGCATCCTAGCACTTGATGCATAGAGATACGCGTTAAAAAAAAAGAAAGAAAAATTGGAATTACTGGCTTTTTAAAATTTTCGATACGAAATTGTACGTCGTACCTGGAGAATGGTGAAATTCTCGAGAACGCTGTTCATCATGTACTTTTCCGGCAGGTGCTTCAATTTATGTATAAAGTTGATCATATATTCGCACATAGGTGAACGGCTAATACGGTAGACGAACCTGCCATTCTCGAACCTAGCGTATTCCGTCTCCACTTTTTCCACCACCTGTTTTCCGAAAGAGCAAACTTTGGTCGAACACGTTATCGTCATGTTCTCGTTGCTCTCGTACCTGTGAAAAAAAAAAGAAAAAAAAAAAGAAAATAGTCTCGTCAGTGCGAAAGATCATACCGATAATGACTTTTGATAGAATGACAGTAATTGAAGAATCTTTTTCCTCTTTTCTTTGTCCACGGGTCAACTCAAAAGAGAGGAAACTGAAAGGATCTTCGATTGGTAAATTATCGGTGCAAACTATCGGGTCTTGATCTGTTTTAAAACAGATTCGTTAATCGAGTTTCACTACATACTGGCTTGTTACACCGTAGAAGGCTCCAGCCTCATCCTGAATGTTCGTATTGAGATCAGCCCAGAATTTAACGAGGAAGAAGGCCGCCTGTGGTCCCTTGTCGTAAAGTTCCTTCAGGCCGCCCTTTTTCTCTGGGAATTTGTCGTATATTTGCCTGACATCAACAGCCTCTAGCAACGGATCCGCGTAAGTCGCCGATCCTCCTATGTGGACGAACAGGTGCTTGTGGTACTGCAAAGAAAGAAAACGAAAAAAACCAATTCGAACGTTTGTCCGGATGTTTGCGACTTCCGGTCGATATCACCTATCCCTGATTGTCCCAACCATTAATTAAACAGGGATAATTTAGTTCTTCTCCTCCTTTTAAATATGAGCCGGCTATTTACTTCGTACTTCGATGGAAGAAGGCTCTCGTTAACCAAGCACTATATGTAGCTCTAGCTTTGGTTAAACGGTATAAGCTTTCTCTTTATATGTACCGGCAGTGTGTTTGAACGGAAATGTTGCGAACAGATCAATCAGAAATTAGATTAGGAATAAATACAATTTCTATATTTCAATATTCTTTCAGATTTTGTATTTTTACATACAATTGTTTCCACGCGAAGGCAAATTATCATCATTCATTTGACAGTTAAACTTGAATATGTTATTTCGCGCTTCTGCCACAGCACTACTTACAATATCCTGGTCTCTCTGTTGTTCCATGTAGGCCGAGAACTCGACAAGCCTAAGCTTGTGGGTTGCGATGGCACGTCCTTCCCATGGCGGGGGTGGTTGAGCCTGGACCATGTCACCGCTTGAAACCGCTGTCGCTGGTTTTCCAGTATACGCTGGTTGCGAAAACGGTTTGACATCCTGTGACGTTCCTGGCTGCAGACCCGGCTGCCAGAATTGCTGAAAAGTCGGCGTCTGTCTTATTTTTTTCTTTCGTAACGTTGCCAAGCGATTCGCCATTTAAGCGTTAACAGTTAGGCCACAGCATTTGCATATATATATATATATATATATATATATTAGCTTTACCTTTTTAGCTTTATTTTCACAAGTCAAGTGAAAATTACTACGAAAATTATATACTATTGTTTACGGCGAGTTTCTTCTGCTCGTCTTTTTCATTTTTCAACGGAATGTTGGCAGTTTGTGAAAACTGAAGACGAGTACCAGGAACGCCTCTCGTAACTATAAAATCGCTACAAGTAATATGCAAATACTTTTCGTAGCAGCTGTAGCAGGAAGAGACTTCATTTCTTTTCTCCGTGAGCCATCGAGCCCTCGGGTGAGGAACGATCGTGACAGGGACAGAGAGCACAGAGAAATTAACCAAAAAAGGCTTGACGTAATGTTACGTACACAAAATATTAAAAATTTAAAAAAAAAACACACACAAAAAAATATATATATATATGTATAAGAAAAACATAGGAACACAAGAGCAAAGGAAAAGTAAAAATAGTAGTCGTATTACGTGAAGAGAGAAAGACAGTTTTGGTAAGCCACAACGACGCCTCACAACGTGTAATTAATGTCCAAAAATTCCGTACACAATATGCAAACCCCGTATATGTATGTGTATATATGCCCAGGTGATATACATATGTAAAAAAGATAGAGCGACGTACAAATTGAACAATACACAACAAGGGCCCCCAGGGGCGTAGCAGCAGAGAGCAAGGGGGTTTCGTTTTTTTATGAGGATGGTTAGTTTTTCTCGTGTAAGCTTCCGTGATTGAGAGAGAGAAAAAGAGAGAGAGAGAGAGAGAGAGAGAGAGAGAGAGAGAAAGAGAGAGAGAAAGGTAAAGAAAAAGAGTAAAATGAAAAATAAGAAGAGTAGTCAAAGATGGAGATCCTGATCGCAAACTCGCGTGAATGTTACTCTCTTACATCGACTATCTTTTAAGCTGCAACGTGCGAATGAGAAGAAGATGGGAAAGAAGAAAAGCTGACTGGATGAGAAATCGTGATTGCATGCTTGTGCATGAGTGAAAATTGAGAAATGAATTGCGTGAACGAAGCAAAGATAGTAAGAATTATTTTAGAATGAGAACAGATTCGCGACGTGATTGATCTCTAGAAAATAGAATATCTGAGAAGAGAAAATGGAGAGCTTTCCTTTGCCTCGTGTGCGTGTTATTCACGAGATACATAGTTGCGCCAAAGCGTCACAGGTGAGTTTTAAACAAAATCACACGAGTGTGATTGGCCTCTTGCAAGCGGATTAGAAACGGTTATGGGGGTGAAGCGGTTAGAATGAAAAGAAAACAGATATACGAACGTCAAAGGAAGAAGAAGCCAAACCGGCAGTGTGTGTACGATAGCAGTCAGAGTTGCACATTCTCAAGACGACGAGACATCGATCGTTCGTCCAACGAAAAATGAAAGGTGATTACGAAGGGACAAGAGATGATGGAGTGATCAAGAACGCACGTTTTATTCTTTAATCGAACTTTCGTTCCACCTCTTTTCTACAATCTAGAATCTCCACCTTGAAAATTACAATGCGATCCAACGATCGCAAGCGTGATCGAATTGCATCGACGGATGTTTATGCGTTTGGAAATTTCAAAATGCAACAAGGACACGCGACGCGTGAAAAGACACGTTTCGCATTTCGGACGTTTGTGACATTTACGGAAGATTGCACGTAACACGTACAAAGATACGATTCTTGTTGTAGCAACGAAAAACATCAATTTGCATAAATATCCGTAGTTCAGCGACGACATAAAACGATAAAGAAACTCCAGTGACTTTTGGTCGAATCTTTCTCTCTTTACGTATCGTGTCGAGCAAGCGTGTCTCGTCGTCTCACCCCAAAGCTCGTGGCTCCTTTCTTTTTTCCCGAATTTTTCTCTCTTTGGCGTGTGCTTTTTTTCCCCCCCTTTCCCCCCTAGCTTCGTGACAAATAGAAAAAAAAATAGGCTGTTTAAAACAGAGAGAGAGAAAAAAAAAATTCGTTCCAAGGAGTTCTCCGTGATCGGGACTTACCGCTCCGGGATAGGAGACAGGGGTGGAAGCATGAAGGGCAAGGGGCCCCACGAGGGCGGGGGGCATCTTGTTGTGTATCGCACTCCCAGCTGATACTATCTGGGCGCTCGACATGCTCGACATAGTCTGCAGCGCCTTCTCCTTGGCGGCATGATCCTAACAAATCGTCAAACCGATTACAACGCGTTCTCCACTGTCCGCAAAACCTCGTTTGTATCATTGGTTCACACGACTTGGTTTTTGTTTGAACTTAGAAATAGTTTAGACCTGGAGTATTAGACCCAGATGCATCGTTGCTCTTCGCACGAATATATTGCAAGTCTTTCTCAATTTGCACCTACGAATCGAATCTCGCGTTCGCCACTCGCTAACAACAACGAACAACACCCGACTGCAGTATGCGTAATTATTAACGCGCGATGGAATACTCTGTATTCAAAAATTCAAAATTCAACGCGAAAGATCGAAGAAGGAAATTCATCAATTCGTTCGTTGGCCGCTGGTGTACATATACACCCCCGCGGATCAACCGACCGGTGTAAAATTAAATCGGCGAACGATTTCTCCTGGTTGCCTGCATAATTTCGTTGCCGCCGCTGAATTTCCAACCCCTTCAACCCTCGGTTCACCCACGGACGGTTCTGTCGCTGTTTCAAGCCCGACCCGAGCCGCGGTTGATGTCATCGATCGCTATCGAGTGAAACGGCAATGCAGTTGATTGCAGAAACAAGGCTGGTTTTGGGTCGCGAAATTCGCGGGAATTTTGCGCTTTTATCGGAAAGCCGTCGTTTTAATCAGCGCCACCCCCAAAGCGCTGTCGAAAATTGCTGACGAAGCGAACGCGAGAGCTTCGATTCTCGTGATATCCGGGAAATTGGCGTGTACCAACCCTTCCACGGATCCTCCACCCTCCCTTCCCCGCCTTCCCCCGCTCGTTCACCACCCCACCCCTCCCACCTGCTCCCCCGGCGCGCGCGGTACAGGCCTTTTCAATTTCGTTCATAAATCCGTAATGGAAGAGCCATTACAAGCTCTGCCTATTCGAAATGAAGCGTGCTGCGTAACAATGCGCATCGATAAAGCCTTTCTCTTTGCTCAACCTGCGCGCTGTCAAAAATTGTCAACTTTTGCCCCATTTTGTGTTCTCTCTCTCTCTCTCGGGTGTTTTTCTTTTTACATACAACGAGGGACAGCAGCAATTTCTGCGGAATCAGCTTTCGGATCGGCTTGAATCCAATTTTCACTCCTTTTTATCGCTTGGTTTAGTTATTCGGTCGACGATCGCGATTTGATAGATTGATTTCGACGAGTAACGGAGAACGTGCCCGCCACTCGAAAGAAGAACAAAAATGCCCGATCGAACGTCCGTTTTCTCCTGTCTATGCGATCGAACTCGGAATTTTTAAACAGGGAATGCCGAATTTACGAAAATTAACCTGATTCGTGATTATCGCTCGAAACTGTAAAAATTACTGGTGCTACTCTCCACGGTGCAATTAGGCGAATCTGCTTTGCCTAGCAAAGCGATTCTTTATTTATTATTGCACGTCGCTGTAAGCCTGAAAGCCACTCTTTTTTATTTGTTCAATAAACGCGTATTATATTCTCCGACGGGATCGCGTGTCATACTCGCAAGTATACAAAAAAAAAAAAAAAAAAATCGCGCACTAAATCCAGCGTAAATAGAAAACTACGGGCGATGTTCCACGGGCAAAAATCGACGAGGTTGCTTCCATTTTCCCCACGTGGCGCGATTTATTCGGGAAGAATGCGAACGAGGGAATTTTCGAATTTAATAAAAAAAACGAGAAAGAGAGAGAGAGAGAGAGAGAGAGAGAGAGAAGAGGAAAGAAAAGAGGTGAAAAAAAAAACGAGCGCAGATAGAGAGATAAAGACAGACAGAAAGGAAAAAAATATTATTATCGCGAAATCGGGCGCGTATTGCACGCGAAAAATCCATTTCATTCCGTGGGACCCGTTGTTCACCGACGAATCTGCAGTAGAAAATCAATTCGGTTAATTGAGAGGGTGGCTGCTGCCCTCGTGTTATTTTTTTCTCTTCCACCTCGTTTTTTTCCCGTTTCATTTTCCATCTTCTCTTTTTTTCCCCTGGTTTTTTTTTCTTTTTTTTTTGTTCGCCTCCCCCCCCTTTTTTTTTCTTTTTTCAATTTTCGCTCGTTCTCTGTCTGTCACGGTACAATCGCTCTGTCCCTGTCTCCGCGAGCAGCCCTTCATCGCGCAAATACACGCGAGGAATGCAGGATTGGCCGGGTAACGGGCTGGACATGTTTATCGACATTCTGAAATGCCGTTCGCCCGTTTTTGGGTGTATCGTCAGTTATCGGGAGGGCAGGCAGAAAGAGAGAGAGATAGAAAGTACGAGAGTGTGTGTATGTATGTGTGTGCGAGAGAGAGAGAGAGAGAGAGAAAGAGAATTGCGCGTTTACACCGCAATAATCAATTACACTATAATGCTCGACGCAGAATTATTCCATGTGAATGTAGACAGACGAGCTTGACTCTCCAAAGAATGTCCACGTTCCAACAAAAAAAAGGGAGAAAAAAAAGGAAAAAAAAAAAAAAAGAAAATCCGGTCATTCGCGATTAATCACTCTTCCGTCGAGTGCGAGTGTGTATTTCGGGGCTTTCAAGTGTCACGCGATTTAAATCTCTAGACTTTTTAGCTTTTTAAACGGTTGTCAAATTATTGTCAAAGACTTTCACATACACGGTGCTGACTCTCTCGATTCTAAAGTTCGTTCTATCCGCGAAGGAGGTAGACGCTCGTTTTAGAGCCCGACTCGCTTGGCAATTGCCAGGCAGTGTTCGTTTAATCGTAGGAACTCACCAATTATTCTGGGATATGATGGCAGGAAGTTTGGAGAGCCGGCGTTCCACGGCAGGAAGTCGGCGGTTCGGAGAACTCTGATAAGGGGATGGCGGCGAATTTTCGGGGGAGAGTGAAAAAAAAAAAAAAAAAATACGGCGACGGCCTCGGTTCGCCGCGAATGGGCCTTTAATGGGTGGCCGGCCGGCCGTGTAGAAAATTAAATAAGGCGCGTTACCACAGGAAACGTAAACACGCAACGCGCGGCGTGCCTAAAAATTCTTTTCTCGCGGAATAAATCGGCCTCTGGGGGGTGGCTCTCTCTGCCTGCCTGCCTGTGTTTCACGCCCCGCGCGAAACGCGGAAACCAGAAAATTACGTCACACACCGGGCCTGTGTGCGTCCTGCCACCGGGTGCTTCTCTGAATAATGCTCGCGGTATGCGGCCACTGCAGTAGCAGATGCAGTCCGGCTCTGCAATTCCGACCGACGCTTCAAACGATGTTTCCCAACCTTCAAACGTGTCGCAGTCCTTTTTTCTCTTTTCCTTCTTTTTTTTTTTCAGATTTTTCGAGAGTTGGCAACTCGGGGCCCCCGGTTTGTTCATCAACGTGGTCGTACTCGTTACACGGAATGATCGCGTTTGCCTTCTGCAATTACGGTTACACGACGACCGGATGAGAGTAAAAACGTATTTTAAGCGAAAAAAAAAAAAAAAAAGAAAAAAGAATTATTAGACTATTTTTCGCGAACGAGATCTATCTTTCCTCCGCGATCGACGCTGAAACGGGACAAAATCGATTGTAAAATCAGGCAAATCCAGACAAACTCTTTTCAGCTGAAATTAACTGGAGCTTTTTTCCTCCCCCCCCCCTCCCCCACCCCTCGCGAGCTCGCGGTAGACACATCGAAACAGAAAATAAACTCGCGTTCCAGCGACGCGCGTCTCTATACGTTAGCGCTGATTAACTGCGTAAAACACGCTCGAATTGCTTAATTTACACGTTCGTTTTGTCTCCTTTTTATATTCGTGCGCTCACTATTGACTGTTCCCTGTACAAACAATGCCACGTCGCATCGTTCTCTCTCTCTCTCTCTGTGTCGTTCTCTGGTTTATATCGGCCCTCCTCATCGCCGAATGGAAGTGGCGAACGCAGCGTGCTGTGATTTATTAACAGCCGCGCAATTGTTCCCAAATCGCTTTAATAATTCAGCTGTTGATTAAACGGGCCCGGGGTTCATTTTTACGCGTGATTTATTCCGCTACAAACCTCCCTGCGCGTCTCTCTCGTGATCGAGAACGAATTTTCTATTGACAATTAATTCCGGCGCAACGCGAATCGTTCGTGGGTGCAAATCAAAAAGTAAAAAAAGGAAAAAAAAAGGGAGAAAAATGTGCGAGCGAGAAGAAAGGAAAAAGTGTGTGTGAAAAAGAGAGAGAGAGAGAGAGAGAGAGAGAGAGAGAGAGAGAGAAAAACATACACACACATACACACGCACGCGCGCGCGAATCAATTGACGTGAAATATTGAATATATCGAATTTTACGCGCGCAGTTGCGATGTTTTTTTTTTTTTTTCGAAAACTCGATACGGAAATCGCAGAAACGGAGCACGACAAGTTTATTTTTGCAGATTTTTCTCGGCTGCAGCCTCTCTCGAAATACATCTACAAATCGGCTGTTTAACGTTTGAAAATGTTTCAACAAATAATCTAGATCTCTCGGCCATCGGTTGATCTCGCGAAATTTTGTTGTTGAAATTTAAAAAAGTTTCGCGTGTGAGGAACACTTGTGAGAATCAGCGTGTACGAACCGTTAATAATAAAATCGTGTTTCAAACGTCCAGTGTACGGCGCGGCAAACAATAATTGCTTTTCAAATAATAAAGAATAAGAAATAAGGAAAACTTGGTGTCATTTCCTTTCGCAAGCGACGATCGCATCTTTCTTTCCTGTACGCAGCTACAAACTATATATGTATGTACAAATGAAAGAAAAAAATGAAAGGAGAACGAAACTGAAAACAGTTTTTCAGCTACGGAAAGGCAGACGGTAGCGGAGAGGTATTCGGACACTCACCACTTTGAGCTTCGCTTGGATCTCGCGAAGTTTTCGCCTAGCAAGCACTTGTATGTGCGAAGAGACCTGCTTTCGCGTTCTCGTCTTGCCTGTTCTCAGTTTGATGTAGCGTGCAATCAGCTCGTTTCGACCTGCAAAACACCAAGAAAACAAAAACAAAATACAATTGGTTAGACAATTGAAGACTCAATTCTGTTTCTGATTTCAAAGTCAAAGTTTCAAGAGACGAGTACTCAAAAAACGCGAATGTAACGCTCGTGATCGATCTTTGGTCTGTACAATAACAGCAGGGATTTTTCGATTATGTAGTTTCGATCGAAACTCTACAGAAGTTTAGCTCTGCGTTCAAAGGCCAGATGGAAATGCGAGTTTACGCAAAACACGATGACCAAACAGCCTGCACCGTTTCAACGTTTGACTGTTCATTTTCCTAACGCCTCGCGCACGTGTAAATGTAAAATGTACAAAACGCGAGTCAAAACAAATGAGATATTCAAGTAAGGTTAGTAAAACACCCCCCCGACCACCAGCCGGTCGTCATACTCTCTTGTAGGAATTCCATTCCACCCTCGAAATCCTATTGCAATCTTCTTTACTCTCGACGAGAAGCAGATCGATCGAGCGTAAATAAACTCCAGATTCCGGTGTGGATCGGCCTCGAACGCTTCTTCGAGAACCGGGGGAAAAATTATTTTACGGTGGCGGCGATCACTCGGAACGTGCGAATCTGATTTTGTGATTTTACCGCGAAAGGAGGAGGAGGAGGGATGATTTCCGTATTCAACAGGTAAGTTTCCTTGCAACTCTCCGTGTGGCAAAGAATTCTATTCTTTTCGTGCGGAAGTCGTTTTGGAAAATTACGAGTTTTCTGCCCCAAGCACTGTAATATTCTAAACCAATAGGAGCCTCGTCGAAGTCACGTGACAAAAGACATTTCAATGCGAGGCTGAAGTTATTTAATTGCAAATTCCTGTTTTTTTGTCAATTTCAGCACAGTTCAATAAACCGCGATAACATCACCGTAGCTGGGTATATATTTCGAGAGGATGCAAAAGGGCGCTTGTGTTCGATTCGATCGGCCGATTTCCATTATGAGAAACAGAGAGAGAGAGAGAGAGAGAGAGAGAGAGAGAGAGAGAGAGAGAGAGAGAGAGAGAGAGAGAGAGAGAGAGA